CACCACCACCACCACCACCACCACCACCACCACCACCACCACCACCACCATCATTATCATCACTACCATCATCATCTTAACCATCTCCATCTGAGAGGAGAACTGGGGACCACCCCCACCTCCAGTGGAGGGTGATGAGTAAGTTACCCTTCTGCCTGTTCCTGAAGGAGACATGGTCTCCTCCCAGTTCTGCTGTGTCTTGTGCTCAATCCGGATGTTGAGCTGTTTCACCCACTTTCAACTTTGCTGCCCGCGGGTATTAGACAGCCTCTCTGGGAGCGGGAAACTCGGGGCTACCTGGCTTTGAGCTACAGGCAGCAGAGTGGTGCTGGCTGTTGAGCAGAAGCTGGCACCATGGGACAGGGTGTGGATCCTCTCTAGCCAGGTCTCTCTCAGGCACCTGACAAAGGACAGGTGGCGTCTCCTGGGCATGGTAGCCATGTTGCCATGCTGAAGTTAGGCCACAAAACCAGGAGGGCAGCCTCCGTTTCCCTGTTCCTATAGGTAGACAGGTGGGCTGAAAGACCTCATTCCATACAGCATTCCTGGGTCCTATGCCTGAGGTTTCCTGATTCTGCCCATGTCCTCCTTTCCTGTGATTCCCAGGGCTCCAGCCCTGGAACTCAGTGTCTCATGCATGTTCCATCACTGACAGGCATCCACAAGGTACCTGGGCAACCTCTTTAGGTGTTTGGGAAGTCACATCGGGGCCTGGGACTGAGAGATGGGGTGAAGTGCTGTCGTGGAGGTGCCAGCTCCCTCAAAGTGAAGTTTTCTCGCCAGGCCAGGCTCTCCTTGCTGGCTGTACCCCTTACCTCTCACCTGCTTCTCAGGCAGACAGTGAGGGACCACAGCCAGGATGCAGATTTCAAAGCAGGTGGGGCCATCTGTACCCAGGTCTGAACATCTGCCTCCAATGTGATCTGATTACACCCATCCTCTTTCCCCTGGTGGGCGGCATACCTGCTGCTCCTGGTCTTCATTAAACCCCATTTTGTTTTTTTATTTACTCACCCCAGGGCTGGCAGAGGGGCATCTGTATGCAAGTGAGGAGTATTAGGTAGGAGAGGAGGGTGGAGGAGCAGGTGCCTGGAACCCTCTGATTGAGGTTGAAGCTGAAAGCAATGAGAATTGGCAGGCACCCCTCACCTCTACACATACCCTTCCCAAACCTTTAAGTATAACGCAATACTTGAAGTCCTGGCCTACAATCCAAGTGCCCTGATGTTATCTATCAGGTTTCCTCGGACTAAGGATGAAGTTTTAATTACACCACAGCCACAGGCAAAATGAAGCCTGTAATTCTGACCTTCATGAATCCATGTGCCATACAGGACACTCCATTAGGCCTCTAGCTGAGGCCAAAAGATAGCAAGTGTGCAAACACACTCTGCATGAATTATATTAGCTTCCCTAGACCCCTGTGAGGTGTGTGCTATTGGAACTACCATTCTCTCAGAAAAGGAAACTAAGGATGATTGGAATGACTTGTCTGATATCATGGAGCTGGCCAAAGGCTTCAGACGTTAACATCTGCTTTTCTCTGGGCCCTTTACCCACTCTTGACTGCTAATGGCCCCATTTCTGGCACCCAAACCTCAGCTCAGTGCTCCAACTCTGCTGCTGTCCTTCTCAGAAAGCCAGTCCTGATTTGTCAACGGGATGACACAGTCCTTCCTCTACACTTGCATCTTTTTTAGACGGGGAAAGATCTTTGGACTCCTGTCCCAGCTCTGCCACTCAACTGCAGAACATGGCTGTAGGCAAATGACAGTCACTCACAGCCCTCTGCTCCCTTGTATGGAACGCAGGCACCCGCAATGTGCTATGATTTAATGTAGAGCATCCCTAGATGCTAATGTTAGTTAGTCATGGGTTCAAATCCCAGCTCTGGCTGTGGGAGGCTTGTCCACCTGTGCCTGCTTCCTTACTGTTGGGAGTGGAAATCCTTGCTGAGAGTCTAGCACCACCGTCACTAAGGGACAGCAGGGCAGGGTGAAGCCTGTACACCTGAATCCTGCTCACACCGCTCGGGTTCAAAGCCCCACTAGGGCCATTCACGACAGCATGACCTTGGAAAAATTGCTTATCTTTGCGGTGCCTTGGTTCTATAGAGATATTGACAGCACTGCTTCTTCATGTTGTTGTGAGGGTTAAAGAACTCTTCACAGGATGCTTGACACTTCTTGGGAACACAGTCAGTACTGGATGGCTCAGCTCTGGCATCTTGAGGATTCCATGAAAGTATGACCAAGCTCTGGGGCAGCCTGAGATCTCTACTGCTCTTCTGCCCTGAATACTAGCCATCCCTGAAAGGCTCCATCCAGCTCTAGTGGCAGAGAACGAGAGCCCCATGGTCTGCTCCCCTGAAGGGACGTGGCTCTAAACTTTACCCAGGTTAAAAGTACCAGGTTTGGAAAGGTGGCATTGCCTCCATCTCAATGAGAGCCTTGGCTGTGGCTGCTCTCAGAGCAGAGGGGAGCAGCCACTTCCAGGCTCACTGCATCCCCTTGCTCAGGGTTTCCTGTTGGCATCTCTAGGGATGCTGGAGGGCCAGCCCCCTTACCCAGTGGGTCCACTGTAGTGGGGATGTCCACGTGGTGCAATGGTAGTCAGAGGGCAAATGACTCCTAATGACACAAATACTTGACTTTGCAGGAACTCAGATTTTCCTGAGTCCTTGAAATGGCGTTGGACTATCCACCTGGAAGTCACAGGTACTTCACTGGAACTGCAGGAGTGGAGGTATGGAGTGAGGGTGTTGCTCCTCATTGGCTGTTGAATTTACTCCTCCAGTAGGTCAGGGAAGCTCAAACTAATCCAAAAAGCTGCAGAGGCAGCAGCTGCAGCAGCTGTGCACTGGGCTTCACCAATCAGCCAGCTACCAGCATGCTAATGCTAACCCAAAGAGGCAGCGGGACTCCGGTATCACAGTGCCTAGCTCAGGACACCGTGCTAAGTGGACCCATTGTTCCTGGCTCGCTGACAGCTGGGTGGAGCAAAGAGGTGATCCAGCTATGGAGCACCACCAGGAACCACGTAGAAGGCATGGGGTAACAGTCACACCTGCCTTTAAATCCCAGCCACTCACCAGCTGGTAGACTTGGCAAACTCTGTTACTTCTTTGAGCTTTAACTATCCCATCTATAAAATGGGCACGGGGACAATGGCCAATCTACAGGGCTCTGAGAAGAATTTAAAAGATAGAAAGTGCCTGGCTAATGTTTTTGCTGTTTGGGTCACAGTGAACACTTCAGAGGCCTTGGTCCAAATGGCCCAGCTTCACAGTGCAGATCCTCTGGGACTTATCTGAATATATAATAGAGTGATGACTAATGATTCTCACTTTTTTTTTGTTCTGTGCTGTGGTGTAGTGTGTGTGTGAGCATGAGTGCGTGTGTATGTGTGTGTGTGTGTGTGTGTGTGTTGTAGCCCAGGCTGGCCTCCGATTCCCTATGTAGCTGAGAATGACCATGTAGTCCCTATCCTCTTGCATTCAGAAGTGCATCCCAGTTTGTGGGATGCTGAGAACTGAACCCAGGGCCCCATGTATGCTAGGCGAGCACTGTACTGTCTGGGCAGCATCCTTAGTCCCTGTGTTTATTTTCACAGATGTGCTAGTTTGTTCTATGTGACACACTCAAGTTGATGCTGGAGTGGGCTGAGGGTTAAGAACAAGGCACCTTGAACTAGATACAGATCCTCCCTCAAAGAGCTCGTGGGCTGATGGGTGAAGGTGGTATGGCGATACAAGGAAACTCCATGTAACCAAGAGACCAAGAAGCTGCTTCTGCTGTGGCTGGTGGGGAGAAACTGGGATGTATAGATGAGATTGCCTTGAACTCATGACTTGGCCCTTGTTCCCTTAACAAGAGTCTGGGTGCTGGCTCAATGCACACGACATGAAGGGAAATGCAAATGGTTTTGCAAAAATATAAGTAATCATCAGCGGGCACCCAGATGCTGGATGAGGCATCCTTGCTATCCTCCCTCTAAGCTCCAGGACACAAAAAGTGACACAGTAGTTGTCCTAGTTAAGATTACTATTGCTATGATGAAACACTGTGGCCCAAAGCAAGTTGGGGAAGAAATGGTTTATCTGGCTTACATTTCCATTTCGTAGTCCATCACTGGAGAAAGTCAGGACAGGAACTCAAGCAGGGCTGGAACCTGGAGGCAGGAGCTGAAGCAGAGGCCATGGAGGGGTGCTGCTTAACTGGTTTTCTCAGCCTGCTTTCTTAGAGAACCCAGGACCACTATTCCAGTGGTGGCACCACCCACAATGTGCTGAGCTCTCCATCATCAATCACTACTTAAGAAAATGCATCACAGCCAGTTTTAATGGGACATTTTCTCAATTAAGATTCCCTCAGATGGCTCTAACTTGTGTCAAGTTGACATAAAACTAGCCAGCACAATTGACCCCTTATCAGTCTGACACACAAACATACCACTGTCAAGTCACAACCTTTCCTTTCCTGTTCATATGTGATATCCCCAAGATCACACATGAATATCAACATTACAAAAATTTAAAAGTCCAACAGACTTCCATCTCTTTTAAATCCAAAGTCTTTGTAAAATTCCAAAATCTCTTTAAAAAAAAGTTCAAAGTCGTTCAACTGTGGGCTCCTGTTTTTTTTTTTTTTTTTTTTTTTTTTTTTTTTTTTTTTTTTAAAGTTAAATACTTTCTTACTTCAAGAGGGAAGAACCAGGCAGGGCACAGTCACAAATCAAAGCAAAAGCAAACTCCAACTGTGTAAATAACTCAATGTCCAATGTCTGGGATCCATTGGCGATCTTCTGGGCTCCTCAAAGAGCTTAGGTCACTTCTCCAGCTCCACCCTCTGCAACACACACAGCTGGTCTTCTAGGCTCTGGCTGGTTCCTCTCCATGGCTGCTGCTGTTCTTGGTGTGGGCCCAGCAATAGTCCCTCCTGTCTCTTATGGAAATTGGCGGCTCAGGTAGTCTGGAGTCAGGTGTTTTGGGGTTTTGTACTTTGAAGATGGCCATGGGAACAACCCACTGGTGTTTTATTCCTGAAAGTAGCTGGAACCTATACTAGTTTATCTCCACTGACAACTTGACTTAGGTATAATGACCTTGTAAGCACACAGCTTGGGAGTTTCCCAAAAGGTCTAACTGAGAAGGGAGACCCACCGTGAATGTGGGCAGCAGCATCCCAGGGACTGGAGTTCCAGACCAAATAAAAAGAGAAAGCAGCCAGGGGCGGAGGGGGGGGGGGGGCGGGGGGGCCCCGGGGAGGAGGGCAAGCTCGGAGCTAGCATTCACCTCTCTACTCCTGACAGTGGACACTGTGTTACCTAGCCATGCCTCTGTCCCTGTATCTCCCCACCACTGGTGAACTGACCTGTCCTCCTGTGAGCCCAAACACACCCCCACCTTCCTTAAGCTGCCTTTATTAGGTATTTTGTGGCAACAACAGGAAAAGTAGTTAATATAGGAACACTGGAGTACAGGGCCACCCTGAAAGTCACACAGTTGGCCAGCCACACATAGTCTAGTGTGTTTTAGGTCCCCAGGGCCTGGAATCCTTTCCTGCTTCTGAAGGTAGAGCTCTCCTTTCAGGTCTGCAGAGACTTGCATGCTGAGAGGAGGCCTGGGGGACAGGTGGTAGGTGCTTTGGAAAGAGCTCAGGTCTCTGCTCTGTGCCCTCCCCCGGAGGAGGCAGCTGGTCCATGGGGACCTGCAACTTCGCTCCCTTCCTCAGTTCCTGAGGCACACTGGCCAGGCCCTGAAGGTGAAAAAAATCAACAGGATTGCAGTTTTCCTAACTCCAGGAGGTAAACTGAGGCCCTGGGAACTAAGAGCCCTGCTAAGAGGATGAACAAGAACCCAGGGACCAGGCTGCTTCTATCTCGGTCTCACCATGACCAGGTAGGCATGACATGACATCTACTCTCAGGACCCTGCCCTAGAATCAGCACTGCTGAGGACCCTCAGTGCTCCAGCTCTGGGCACACCCTGTGCCCTTCAGGTCAGCCTGTCACCCCAAGGCCCATTAAAAATGTATGAGGTACTGTGTAGGAGAGACCAGAAGATGCTGGGTCTGTGGTAAACCTCTTCACTTAGTGCCCCTTCTGCCCTAGCAGGGCAGCCCCGTGGAAACATTGGTGGTGGCTGCCATCACTTATTCATTAGAGAGCACTTAGACAGCTGCTCTGGGCTTCTGCTCAGAATGGACTTTTTTTTTCCCCTCTCATGTCCCTATTTCTAGACCCTTCTTCTTGCCCAGTCTTCTCCTTCCTACCTTGATCTGTTCTGAATGGCTGTAAACTGAGTGGTGGCTCTCAGAGGGCAGGTCCATCATGGCCACACGGATAGAAGCTGGGCTGAGAACATGTTCTATGAAGAGAGTCCCTATGGAGCCTTTCCACCTCTGTGAACCGTGCTGAGAGCAGGCTGGAGGACTCTGGCCCAGCACTGGTTGGTGACAGAGTGGATGGTCCTGCAACAAGATGGGTGATGGAGAAGACAGGCCTGGAATAGGATTCTGGCTTGAGCTCTGTTTGTTGTTGGCTCTGTGGCCTGGGACCAGGCACTCAGCTTCTCTGAGCCTCTGTGGCTGCTGCATGCTCACACTGGGAGTCAGAACCATGCTAACCATCCTGCCTTGGGAGGCTCCCAGCATCCCCATGGTGGAGTGGAGCTGGGGAACTTCCACCATTGGTGGCTGCCCTGCCTTTTCACCTTTGTTAGAGCATAATCCCTCTTAAAGAAAAACTCAAGAGCTGGAACCTTAAGAATGAAGGCCTGACCCCCTACTCTTGATTCTGGAAAAATCCCAGCCCTCACACCTCCAAACCCAGGAGCCCCGCCTACAGGGAGCAGTCATCCAGCCTCTCTTTCCCACTCTGTCGTTTTTTATTTGTCACAGAGTTCAGGGGAACCCCCGAGACCTTTTTGTCTAGCTCCTCAAGGCTCAGAGACAGAAAGGGGCTGATCTAGCATCACACAGCAATCAGTGGAGAGTCTAAGTCTCTACTGGCTGCTTGTGCCCACTGCTTGACCTGGGCACATAGTAGGGGCCACAGCACAATGGAAGACCTGTGACTAGTTTGGCTTCCTCCATGATAGACATAGAAGGGCCCCCAGTGTTTCCTCTCTTGGGGGATCTGTGAATTATAATAGTAAGGAAAGACAGCAGGAAGAGACAGAGGAGACTGTGGATGCCCAGAGAGCGAGATGACCCAAGGACAAAGGTGACTCTGCCCTTTACCTATGTCCAGGACTGTGCTGAAGAACTGTGGGATTTGGGTATTTAGGTTGAAGAGACATAGTTATTATCTCAGCCATCTGGAGCATCAGGGCTTTAGTGGACCCAGTGCTCGTCTTTTTTTTTCTGGATGAGAGCCCCGAGGCTTGGTGAGGCTATGTGGTATTCTTTTTTTTTTTTTTTTTTTTTGGTTTTTCGAGACAAGGTTTCTCTGTGTAGCTTTGCGCCTTTCCTGGAGCTCACTTGGTAGCCCAGGCTGGCCTCGAACTCACAGAGATCCACCCGGCTCTGCCTCCCGAGTGCTGGGATTAAAGGCGTGCGCCACCACCGCCCGGCTATGTGGTATTCTTGATGCACACCACTTTGATGTTTGTGAACCCAGCTCAGCTTTCTCTGGGTAACATGTGATCTGGGGTGTGCACTCCAGCAGACCTACCCTTTGGCCCTTGCCACTCTCCCCTTGGCCACATTGGAAACACCAGGCTTGAATGATGACATCAGGCTTGTCACATTGTCACACCATCATCACCCCCAGGCTGCATCAGCAGCTGCCCTGATGAATAATTCATGGGGTCTTGTTTACTTTTCCCTTCCTGGATGTTCATGGCTTTCAAACCCACGACAGCCCCTCCCAGGTCCAGCTGCCCTGGCCTCTGATTTGGCTACCAGAAAACCACCTTGGGGCCGGGCCATGCACTGGCTGTGAATTATTCAGGTCTCATCTGCCTAGAGCCAGCATGGATACTGTGACTGGGAGGAGTCTGCCCTATGGGGGCACTCATTGGAAGAAGTGTGGGACAACATTACCCCAGCCTGCACCTCCATCTGTGTTGAACCCCACATCCTGTTGGATCCATAGTCATCTGCAACTGTGAACCCTATGGAGCAGACTGTGCCTCAGTGGGACGCCACAAACTTGTCTCCAGGACTCCTGCACGCAGACTATCTGGAGGAGCTGGCAGGGTGTTGATTACCTGGCCTCTATAATTCAGCTAGGGAGTCCACAGACACAGCCCCTCTGGGGGCCAAGTACAGGTCTCTGGAGCCAGACAGTACAGGGTAGATGAAGGTCTGATCCCACCCCTGCTCCTTTCCAGCACAGTCACCTAGGGTGGTCGCTGAACCGCCTATGCTGCTGGGAGGTGGTTAATGCTCTGCTGGTGTACTACTCCAACTATGTAGT